AAAATACTAGCTTTTTAATTTCTGACTGGGATGTGAACGTATCTGAACATCGAAAATAATGTCAGATTCCAGAGTCCAATACGCATCTCGTTGTTCTGGAAGAAAAAATTGTGACAGACAGAGAGAGACAGATCACATTGAGTGATCATGTAATGGCTCCAATATTTTCCAAGGTACAGAACTTCACCATGACTGTAAAAATAAAAATAACTTTGAGTTTCCAAAATTAGTAGTGTGTCGATGCAGGTTCTAGCTCAATATGCCGGACGGCAGTTGTCATCGATTTCCTGTAGGAGACGTATGACAAGGCATGGGCAACCGTACAAAAAACGTGAGAGGCCGAGCTGAGTATGAAGAAACATAAAAAAAACGTGGAAAGTAATCAAAAACATGAAATAAACGTCCCATCTAGTGTACCAGTATTTCAAAATCCATCTGTATGTTGAATAATCTCTGATCATCTATTATTCACAAATAATTGACATCAATTTAACAGGAGCTGGATTGAAGAGAATTAATTATGATATCAAAGTTCGATTACTATTATCCCCCTTCCTCATTCTCCATAGTTATTTTCATTCCACGCCCAGGTATGTCTTTCGAATTTTAATAACTGAAAATGCAGATATAATTCATTCGACTCTTCTTAGCTGTATCGTGACTGAATATCATTCATAGCACTTTATAAATGGAAATGGTGAAACGGTGAATGAATAATTATCCTTCTTCTTTCAATTCTCACAACATCCAACGCGATGATATCCCACGCAGTGTGTAGGAAAAAGCTTTTTGTTACCTCATTCCCACTTCAACATCACTATATTCATCAAATATGATATTGTTCTTGATGAACGAAACCATTGAGCTGACTGAATAACTCACATTGAATTTATTTACTTTATAATTTCATCACAAATAACATTTACTACCTACTAGAAACTCTATACGACTCCTTCCTCATTTTCTTCATGACACATCAACTGCGCCTTCCATCTATCTAAATCCCATGGGACCCGAGCGTTAAATACATTCATCCACTGAAATCTATTCATCATAATTTCCTACAAACCCGCGATTCGTAAGTTCTGTCGGAAGTTTTGACATGCAGAGTAATAACTTTTTATTCGGGAAGATAGTAAATTCTATGCGAGAAGACGATGACTCGGCATTCCAATTATCCTTCAAGAAAATCGTATTAATTCAATGAGGATAATGGAATTTCATAATTGTTTTACTTCTAATTGAAATGTTTCAGTCCATCCATTATCCTGTTCAGTCATCTACTGCATTCTTTTGAATAAATTCGCGGATCATCAAAAGTAGAAACTAGTATAAAATATAGAACTTCAGCATTGCTTGCCAATATAATAATTGTCCATTAGTACTTTAGGAATGAATGAATGAGAGTGCTTTATTCACAGTCAATTGAACTTCCGAAGAGGAAGGATTCATATTTGAATATTTTCATTTCACAATGGCTCTCAGCCTTCAATTCAGTAGGTACTTCATCATACTTTTTTCATAATCCATCTCAAGATCCACCTCATGTCTTTCGGAGCATCACTGTTGACATTCCTTAAATGAATATTCCACTTCAACAAGTACTCTGACTTTTGGGTGTATGATAAATTGACATTCATCATACAGGGCGTGGAAATGAATTCTGAATTGAGACTCTATCACGAATCTGCGATTAGAGGTCTATAAAAATCACAAGTTTCCATCGTTCAAGTTTGAACCCCCTGATTGGGTATGAAAGTGTTGAAAAGGAATATTCTCAGATAAATTATGAACATACAAAAATGGATATATATTTATATAAAGCAATACATTGAGAATTCGCATTTTCTATGTGATGAGAATATTTACTCTTTTTCAGTTAATTCAATAGAAAACAACTACTTTCCTGGCTATATGCCACGACGAACATTGAAAGTAGTTGTTTTCTGTTGAATATTCAGAATGATGTGTGTATATACATATTTTTGTCTGAAGGAGAATGCAAATTCTCAATTTCAGAAATTTTTATATTTTATTTTCAAACTCTTATCGTGTGTGTTCAATAGATATAATTCAATGTTCGTCGTGGCATATAGCCAGGAAAGTAGTTGTTTTCTATTGAATCAACTGAAAAAGAGTAAATATTCTCATCACATAGAGAATGCGAATTCTCAATGTATTGCTTTATATAAATATATATCCATTTTTGTATGTTCATAATTTATCTGAGAATATTCCTTTTCAAGTACTCTGACGTTGGAAATATTTCACACCGAATTGGAAATCTAGTAAAGGATTCAGAGATTACAATTCATAAAGATACTATTGATCACTATGATTATACAACAACCAAAGGTTATTTTGCATTTACATGCATCTCCATGAATGAAAAGATGTGGGAAAGTCATCGGAAATATATAAATAAGAAAAAATAATATCAAGATTATGAGTTTTTTTATATAATATGAGCACCAATCTTCCATAACAAACACTGCTATCTTTTATCATAAACCTGCCACAATCTTCCGTTCATTCTAATAAATATCACTTAAAAACTGGCAAGTAAACACACACTAACAGAACAGCATCCGGATAACCTCTGGATCAGTTTGGACCATAACTCACTTCGGGATTTGGTGAAAACACTTTCCAAATACACGCATGTTCCGAGAGATATAAAAGCTTCAGATGAGAGCTCCCATGTCACTTTGTTCACCAGTAAAGGTTGCAGTGGGTAAATCGTCACATGAATAACAAGTCTAGCAAGATATCATTTGATCTTTCATTTCCACATCTGAAACATTTCGAAATGACGTTTGCTGAAGAATTAACCCAATTCAGTCTGTGATATTTGTATCGACGGATTGTTTGAGTGGAAAATCCAGAGACAAGGAGAAATTTCATTCGAAGCCATCTAATTAGTAGAGATCATCAATCTTAGGAAATTCCATTTGCGTAAAACTCTTCTAATAAATATCACTCAAGCAATCACATAGTAGCAAAACAGACTCTGGATAACTTCTCTGGTCATTACTGATAATAAATGAATGAAATTTGCATAAAAGAGCATTCGAACGAATAGGAATAGGCACATGGAACATCGCAAGATAAAACTCGATCAAAAAGAAAACAACTACTGACAATTTTCATATTCAGCAAATAATGAACGAAGCTAGTTATGCCAGTACCCTTCAGAAGCATTCAATATTGATAATATCTTTGCAAATCCAATCATGAAGGAATGCTTCATATTCGGATGTACATTAGGTACAGTCTGATGAAATGGAATATTTTCACTTGACTATGGTGAATGATCTGTATCATCTCATTTTATACATTATCGGGCAGAATATGATTTGAATTTTAGTAGAAATTATCAAAAAATATGAATCATCATAATCGAGAGTATAAATCTCAAACTGCCAATGTTGCGTAATGCTGTAAAGTGATTGAGTGAAGGAATATCAGCGTAAAATAGATTCCATGGTGAATGATGATTCCTTCCATTCAGCAAATAATGCTTTTACCCGAGAATGCAGGTTATAGTAATTCTTGCATCCACAGTAACAAACAAGCTTCTGGACCACGGAGAATTGCATCGTTAATCCTCACTTTTTGCTGACTTCCTCAATAAATTCTTGGAAATGTATCGTGGACTCCTCACTTTTCTCTGACTTTCTCAATAATCTAGTGAAGGTGGTGTGAAAATTCCACCCAATCGATGATGAAAAACAGTAACAATGTTGAATTGTACACGTGAGGACATATTGACATAAAGGGATCAAATGAAGTGAACAAAAAATAGTACATTCACCTTATTGAGAAATAATCATTCAAACTTTCAACACCTTCATTTCCGAAGTCGGAAAAAAGGACTACAAACATCTGAAGTTTTTCAGCCGATCAGCCTCACATTATTCGAGTTAAAAACGATGAAAAAGGTTGTAGATAATTATTTGGGGGAAGATATCTTGGAGAGCATGCTCTGGCACCTCCGACAACTTCCTCACTAATCTCAAAGAACAGGCGCTGAAATTCCATCCAATAGATGACGATTGACAGTATCAATATTGAACTGTACACGTCGGGATAATAATATCAGGGAAATAATTATTCTTTCAATTCAGTGAAGTACAGATTAAATCTAATATTCATACTTCATATTGACGTCTATTGAACTTTCATTCCTCATCGATCTTGGTATGATTTGAACTAGATATAACGAATTATCTGAAGCCGTTTCTTAGCAAATGATATCATGAAGATGTATCGTCAAGTATCGGTATCCTCATAAGAGCTCCAAAGAAACACACAATGACAAACAACGAAATGTATCATGGACTCCTCACTCTCATTGACATTCTCACTAATCCTAAAGAAGAGGCGCTAAAATTCCACCCAATAGATGACGAATAACAGTATCAATGTTCAACTGTACACGTTGGGATAATGATATCAAGTGATCAAATGGAGTAAATAGTATACATTCACTTTGGTAAATATAATGATTCTTTCCATTCAGTGAAGTGCAGATTGAATTTAATATTCATACTCCATATTGCCGTAAATTGAACTTTCATTCCTCATTGATCTGGGTAGAATTTGACCAAAATATAACGAATTATTTGAAACCACTTCTTAGCAAATTATATCATGGAGATTCATACACACAATAACAAACAACGAAACTTATCGTGGACTCGTCACTCTTATTGGCTTCCTTCCTAATCTCGAAGAACAGGCGCTGAAAGTGCACCAAATAGATGACGAATAACATTATCAATGTTGAACTGATCACGTTGGGATTATGATATCAAGTGATCAAATGAAGTAAATCGTACATTCACTTTGGTAAATAATGATTCTTTCCATTCAGTGAAGTGCAGATTGAATTTAATATTCATACTTCATATCGCCGTACATTGGACTTTCATTCCTCATTGATCTGGGTAGAATTTGAACAAAATATAACGAATTATTCTTAGCAAATTATATCATAGGGATTCATACACACAATGACGAACAACGAAATGTATCGTGCAGTCCTCACTCTCATTGACTTCCTCACTAATCTCAAAGAAGAGGCGCTAAAATTCCACCCAATAGATGACGAATGATCTCTTGAAACTGTTTCTTCGCGAATTACATCTCATGGAGATGCATCGTCACCTATCGGTATCCTCATACGAGCCTCCAACCAACACACAATAACAAACAACGAAATATATCTTGGACTCCTCACTCTCATTGACTTTCTTGCTAATTTCGAAGATAAATAATTCTTTCATGTATCAGTATCAATAATTCTTTCAAGTATCGTTATCAATATTGAACTGTTCACGTTGGGATAATAATATCAGTTCAATAATAATTCTTTTAATTCAGTGAAGTACAGATTGAATTTAATATTGATACTTCATATCGATGTCAATTGAACTTTTATTCCCGATCGATCTAGGTATGATTTGAACAAAATATAACGAAATGATCATTCAAAACCGCTTCTTAGCAAATTACATGTCGTGGAGATGCATCGTCACCTATCGGTATCCTCATAAGAGCTCCAAAGCAATACACTAATCTCAAAGAAGAGGCGCTAAAATTCCTCCCAATAGATGACGAATAACAGAATCAATGTTGAACTGTTGACGTTGGGATATTGATATCAAGTGATCAAATGAAGTAAATAGTACATTCACTTTGGTAAATGATGATTCTTTCCATTCAGTGAAGTGCAGAATGAATTTAATATTCAACATTGAACAAAATATGACGGAATGATTATTTGAAACCGTTTCTTAACAAATGACATCTCATGGAGATGCATCGTCACCTATCGGTATCCTCATGAGAGCTCCAAAGCAACACACAAAAACAAACAACGAAATGTTTCGTGGACTCCTCACTTTCTCCTGATTTTCTCACTATTCTCGTGAAAGGGGCGCAAAAATTCCACCCGAACGCGTGTAGCTGCGCGTCGAAACGGGGGGTATGTGCACGCTAGGAGATTCGGTACAACACTGGGGGATGCTGCCGGCAATCCGTTGGGGGGAAAAAGCGGGTAGTCGGTCGACAGGACCCGAACCTCGACACGTCTGCGTTTGTTTTCTTCGGATGGATCCCCATCGGAGGCTGCGGGTCAAGCCATCGAGGCAATTAAATTGGGAAGACTCTGTCAGTGGGTCATTAGATGATGATGAATTGATGGTATATCTTCTGTTCCGACCACAACATACTGCAACATATTGCACAGAAGTGAAGTTATATCTGCTGTGGAATTCGGTCATTTGTCGTTAACGAGGATATAACTATCAGAAAGGAATATTTTTTTTTTATCTTCTGGTTCTCACGAAAAGGGATATCCTGTAATGTTCAGGAAACATCGTGAGAACCAAGGAAAATAAGGTACGAGTTGGTGTTCTCCTTAAATTTCTGGAGGTTATATGCTTTCGCGAACACCTTCCCTGTCAATGTGTTCTAGAGCCCCGCTGTTCGTTGGATGAACGAATCTTTGGAAAGAGATGTTCTGCAGGTGTCCAAAGTGACCACGAAGGGGTGCGAAGCCCCAACTTGACGGGTTAATCTCGCGGGGACTGCCAAGGAAGGAACAATTGTTGATATTTCAGAAGAGCATCGTCCATGAAAATATCAATGAAATAGAGCCAGATCGCCAACTTTTTTATGGTGTTCCAGAGAAGTGAGTGAGTTTGTGAGCGAGGCATCACCCACGAGACGAATTGCCCTTCTTTGGACAGAATCCAACAGTTTCAGGGTATGTCCAAGTAGATATTAAAATATTGTCAGTGGCGTACTCAGAAAAAGTTCAATGGATTTTCTCCAATCAGAATGCTAAATTTGTATCTTCCTGTATATCGATTGAACTGATGAGACCTGTTATCTATGCACACTTTTCATAGTTGACTGCCTTCCAAATTTCAGAGCACTGAGCACTAAGGATTTTGAAATATTCAATAAAATCTGAAAAACAAAAATTCCATTCATCGCCCTCTGCTCCCGCCCCGACTTTTCGTACCGAGGTAAGTTGGTCCCAATCGACCTATTTTGAACTCCAGTTCACCCTGTTGAATTTAATGTACGTTGTTCTGGGACACCCTGAATAATACTTTGAATTCATCACCATCCAGATGATATGAAGGAAACTGATCAATTATTTAGCCAAAGTTTCAAAGGAGGTGCTTCTGTCTCTAGCTCTCACTCTCAATCCCATCTCATCTCCCTTTCTCTCTCTTCCTCCCACTCTCTCCCTCTCTCTCTTTCTGTTTCTCTGTATCTCTCTTTCTTTTTTCGATATTGAGAATATGTACACGACCTAGAGTTTTTTAATTTTCTCCAAATATGAAATGAAATGATAGGGGATATAATGTTGATTTGTTATTCTTATAAACAAAATGATCATAACGCTGGATAAGTTATTTCAATATACCGTTCGTTTTCAGTCTCAAATAATAATGAAATAAAAAATTCATTATTTATCCAATATTTTCATTCCAGCTGTTTGTTTTCGCTGCAGAATTGGATTCCTTCCAACAACAATCTTGTTATAATATCTGTATGATTTTTTTTCATCCTCAGCGAGAATCCACTAACTGCGAGCAATTTCTGAAAAATGTGAAAAACATATTCATGGTCGTTACCTTGGGTGGAATAAAATAAATTTGTTTCCTTTTTTATAATCGCATCGGGAATTACTCGCAGCAATTGGACGTTGAAAATGATGAGACAGAGATTAGTGGGGTTAGGAGACAAGGCAGATGAAAAATTCATAGAAAAAGTATAGCAACGAAAAACAATAACAGAAACGCGAAATGTACAAATACAGTAGGCAATAAGGATGATACGGGATGAGGATAATATCTACCATAATCATAATGGGTATCAACATAGTATGGTTGTTGTAGATTGTAGGAGAATTATAGTTACTGTGTGGAATACCCGTATTCTTGAATTGTCTTTGAGTACTTATACTATAATACAATTTATCATTCCACTGTTGTAGTAGGTAGTTAGTTAGTTCAGTAAGTATTATTATTCTTTTGACATTTTACATGTATGAAAAATAGTCAATTTATGTTAGTACAATACAAGAGAATAATTCGTAGCATTAGATGAAAAGATGAAAATGAAACATATTATAAAAATAAGACATACAATAAAATGTTATTAAAAAATACAATTCGAGTGTGTTTATCACACGTTATCAGGCAAAAAAAATTTATTCATATTATAAAACGACTTATCAGCTAGAAATAGTAGACATATAAAAAAGAATAAAATAAAATAGAATAAGTATAGGCCATGTGTCGTCTCCCAAATGATCTGAGTTGGTAGTGGGTATTTTCAAGAGTTTTGTTAATCTATGCTTCTATCCAGTGCATCATCCAAAAGGTATACACAATAATGCCGAAAATGAACTGACAAAATACAGCGGTTCCATCTCCCTTGTAGAAAAAAAAACACCCGATCCCAAGATTATCTTTCAAGAGTTGTATTATGTCAAGTACTTCTCCATCGACATTATAAGAATGATAATTCCACAAATGTTCACATTTTGCAAAGTACAGTGAATAATTTCCATTATTTTCATGTTTGACAGTTGAAAATTCTCATGCACTTTTCACGTTTTACAAATTACACAGTAGGTAGACGTTTCCATTCGTTATTTGTGATGAGCTTGTGGACAATATGCTCATCTGATCATTATTTCTTTCATTTCGAATAGTAGGTAGTTTTTTGAAGTGAACTATTTCTTTACTTCTCAAATAGAATCATTACTCAATTACCCTTCAATTCCATATATTTTCAGATTTTTCTGGTCGATTTTGGTGCTTGAATCATCAATATATTCACGGTCATTTTCAAATGGCTAGAAATTTACCGCAAATAAAAGCTGTCGTCACGATTTCGTGAGTAGAGGCAGACCATAGCACGGTTACCATCTGTTGAAATACGAATGGGGAAACATCACATTTATTATTCATCCAATAATCCACAAATTCTCAATTATATATTGGTAATATCCTCAATTAGTTTTGAAAAAAAATCAATTGTCTTCTGATTTTCTCTCTTATAAGTTGTATCTTATGGCATATGATGAATTTGTGTTGATATAATGATTATAAAGATTCACACTAGAGGAGATATGTTCCGGTGAACGTGACAACACAGGATTGTGGGCGTTGTCTAGTCAGTTCTCAGCGTTTAGCACATCATTGCCAAGTCTTTTGCCTAGCCAACATTTACATTTTACATGATGTTCTGTTAGTTGTATAAGGAATAGCTCAACAAGCTGGTTGCTCGAAACAATCACGAATCAATAACTTCAATATCATGTCTTCCTCGTGTTATGTCAAATGGAATATTAGATTTGGATATAGTTTTATTCAACGACAGGGCTCTGACAACTTTTCAATAACTTGTTTATAATTGGTTTATGAGTGGGAATGAAAGATTATCTGACCAATAATGAAGCAGCACAAGAATTGACGTTACTTCACGGTTTTTTCATAATTTCAATGACGATGACTTCCACTTGAATTTTCTTTTTCTTTTCCTTATATTGACAGACTCACTTGATCGTATTCTCACAACAAACAGTGTGGAGACATGACACGATGTCATCTATCTTGATTGGTTGATTGTCGGTTTTCCAACAATTCTTATTCTTGTTTAGACTTGGTGAATAGTCCTTTCTCCATCTCTTCCAGTAGTTGTGAGTCCGGCTCGAAGGACCAAATTCAATGTCTTTGGGCACTTCTTCACGGTTTTTTCGTAAATTCAATGACGATGACATTTACTTGAATTGTATTTTTCTTTATATTGACAGACTGTCACGTAGGTCCGTCAGACCCACTTAACCGTACTCTCACAAAATACAGTGTGAAGGCATAACATTCATCATATATCCGCCAAATGGCGACCATTAAGGCACTTGAAATGATCTCTGGAATCCAACAACTTCGAGACATTTTCAAAATTTTTCATTATTTTCATCATTCTGCAAATTTTATGTAGGTAGGTATCTCTTTTGTGGAATGTTGAATATCCTATTTCGAACTATAAATCAAGTTTGCTGTGATTGATAAGGTTTTTGATTATA